ACTAAGAACCCAGAAAGAAAGGAGAGCAATGAAAAAGCAAAGAAATCAGACTGGTATTTAGTGGTATTTCCCCAAGAGGCAAATATTACTCAAAAATATAAAAACAGCATTTATTTGCTTAACTGCAAAAATGAAAACAAAAAAATGTAAATGACCTTAGTTACTAACTACATGCAGATGCATCCAATTTTAAATCTCCAGTCATAACCACTGACCCTTTTTGTACTCCTTTAATTCAATTTATAGAACAACTGTAAGTAAATATCTTGTCAACACTGACAAGAATTTAAGCCTAAGATGTTATCTATTATATTCCGGCTTCTATTCCCAAAGTTACCAGGAAAAATTCAGCTTTACTGGTCCTGGCTCCAAGCCTAGTAGCACAATCTGCCAAAGCAGCAGAAAAGCCATCAGCCAATGATTTCCCTGTGACCTTACAGCTAGCAAAAAGACACTAACCATTCCTGAACTTACAGAATTCTAAAAAACTTGGAAACCATTTTCTATTATAAAAAAAATTCTTCCAAATTACACAAAACACTTTGACACTTCTCCAGTTCCCCTTTCGAATATTCTGCAAATGTGTTGGCCTAAAGGGACAAAGCTCAATGTTGCACATTTTAAAATAAAATCAGGGCCTACACATCATCCAATACAACTGCCAACACTAACCTTCCCTTTGAACTGCCCATAACCATCTGCATTCAGATGTCCCTAAAGTACACTTAAATTAAAATACACTAAAATTCCACTTTTCTCTAGGCTTCCTAAATTGGCAAATACGGGTACCTACCCAGGTCACTCACAAAATTCTGAGCCTTGTTCCACACTACCTCTCCCCAGCCCAGCAGCACAAACCAAGCAGTTGGTAAACTCTGTCCTCTCCACTTCTCTAGGCCTCTCATGCCATTCCCTCCTTTCCACACATACTGCCTTAGCTCAGACTCTCTTCATACCTCTTACGTTGACACAGACAACCTCACTTGGAGTCTAATTAATCACCCAAGATACATGTATCTAAACTCAGATCCTAACACTCATAACTCCTTCTTCAAACACCTATAGTGCCCTGAAAACTGCATGCAAAATAAAACCACCTTTTCATCATTTCTTCCTTTAAGAGCATATTAGTTAAGTGTGTAAATCCCAGTTCTACCACTTATTAGCTTTATGACCTTAGACAAGTAACTTCTATGTACCTCTATATACTCATTTGTAAAATAAAGATCACAGTAGTACCTTCCCAATAAAGCTGTTCTCAGGGAATAAATGAGTTAATATTGATAAAGCACTCAGAACAGTGTCTAGCACATATAAAACGCCCAAAAAAAGGTTATTATTATTATCCCATTCCC